GCAAAAATCTCAACACATGGGACTGTGTCACAATGGTTGGAGGGGGATCAAGACAAGCGTAGGAAGATTGAAAAATAATAACGACGCAAATCATATCTATCCGTTTCCAACTTTTATGCAATACAAGTATCTTAAATGGATATCCATTCTTTATATCTTTTTAAAATCAATAGATCGGGTGGTGAGGGATTGGCAACGCACATAATGAAAAAGGGCTTATATCGATTCGCCTGGCCTCCCTGTATGCTTCTACACCTTCTAAAACAATTCACTAGAGCGAAAACAGGTTTACAATAGAAATAAGGTAAATAATAGACGTAGCTGAAAAGGGCGATCTAGACGTTGGGCGGGTAAGATGGCGGCGCGTGCGCCACCTCCGAGGACACAATAGAAGCTTCGGTTGTGGCTGGCGTGGTATGGTGATGTTTCGAGGGTCTAAGCTGTAACGATAGTATGGTGCGCTAGGACGAGCAGACGAGTTCTAGGGAACCGGCCAACTACGGAAAGGGAAGCACGAGGCGTTGTTAGCGAGGTAGAGGTGCTGCATACGGATCACGCGTACAGGGTAGATTGCTCCGTCTAGTCTCAAAGGATCATTGTGGCTCGTCGCTGGCTGTGGTCGCGGCCAGATCAGACCTCAAGCAGACGCGTCCTTCAAGCATCTAAAACGCAGTAGAGGAATGTGCATAGTATATTGGTTGATAGGTACGGTCACGACGAAGTGAGAGGGCGAACTGACGCTGAGTCTGACACTCTTTTGCACAGTTCCTCAGAACTTTTCCGGCCTTGTGTGTGACCTTCGCCCTCAGCTACCGTGCACGCTACCGTCACCGCGCCGCCGCCGCCTCGCATCAGTCCGTATAGTCACTACATCTTAGCTCAAAGTCGCGCCTCACTGATAAAACTCGCTGGCGGGCCGGGCCGGCGCCGCATAAAATGGTGAGAAACGGTTTTCTATTATATTTTATTCTTGGCCGTGCGCTCAGTCCAAACCGCTGTGCATATTCAAGCGCTTGTATAGTGTACATTACGCGCTCCTGAGAGTGGTGGCGTCTGTATTTTGGGAGCGGGCGTTACATATCACCTTGGCACACCCACCTCTGGCGCACCAAACGGCTACGACGAGCGACAACAAGATGAAGAATACGAGCGAGTGTAGATCCTGCAGAAGAAAAACCATGGCGTGGAACGGTGTCCCGCGATAATGCGGTCAGCTGTTCGGCTGTCAGTTCGTATGTACCTCTTGCACCGAAATCTAGCTTCTGTACGCATGCCTATATACTAAGCTTCTAGAATACAGAAGAGACCTGATTAATTAATTGGCTCGTGGTCCAGATGTAAGTCTAGTTGAGAAGCCTAGTATTCGCACGACACTGGTCTTACGATAAAGATAAACGCATGCTAATTACGCCTAGGCTCTGAGCTTTCTACGTAATACAGCGTAAAAAATTTTCGTGGAGCTGATAGTCGGTAAGTTTTTTTTCCGTGGTGCAATGTGCGGTTTGTTTTAGATACAGGGCTGAACGGCAGTAATTCGTCTCAGCTCAATATTAGCTGAGGAGTTGTGTACACCGATCGCGATGGGATAATCGGCTTTTCATCGCATTTGTGGATTGGAGGAGACAGTGTAACACAAAGATGCGATGTTGTCGCTTAAAGTGATTGTGATGTAAAATGACTAATCTCTTCGGTATATGTGCTGCGCTTACTTTTTTTTTTGATCTTCATATACGGTACCTCTCTTCACTGGCCCTTAATAAGAGATCTGAAGCCCTGACAAAGTTGTTCGAGGGCCGCTAGAGCACGCACCGAAGAGTGCAGGCACTGGCCCAGATCTTTGGTGACCACAGTTACCTTCACAAACTGGGAAAATTCGCGGGGAGCTCTACTAGAGTTTTTTTTCTAAGAGACCTTTCTAAGTCGGATTTGGCTGTTCGGAGGAGCTTCTCCATACTAGCACGCGTAGCTGACAGGCAGAACTGTGGATTGCTAGCGCGCCCGTCGCGTTCGTAGAGGACGGCGCTGCCGGGCGAAGAGCGCGGGCATCCGTGTATACCTGCCGCCGCATAGCCTTTTTGACTCTTGGGGGTCATGTGGGTCCTAGTCTGCTTGTCGGCGCTGGTGGGATAGCGCTTGGGCCGAGAATCTGCGTCATTGAGAGCATGGTTGGTCGCAGCTTGGTACGTTGTCCTCTAGGTTAGGGAAGCACGTATTTCTAGACAGAGGAGGTCTGGTGGGCTTTGTGCAGGAGATTTTTTGGCCCTGACGGCTCGGGGGGGTCTCGGCGGCGTGCTGCGCGTAGGTGCTGCGGCCACGCGGCCTTGTCGCGCGCCGCTGAGCTGCGCCGCTGGGGCGAGTGGCGGCCGCCGGGCCCGCTGCGGCGGCCCGCGCTGCGCTGGCGCGACGCCGCTAGGACGCCGCACCGACCTGCTGGGAGCCCGGCTGCGCTTCGCCGTCGCCACGGTGAGTCCTGGAGCTTGAAGTACAATGTCCCATATATGTAGTGTATGTTATATCCTGGGTGGTAACGGAGTTCCCCTCGCAATTTAATGTGACAAACAGGGCTGACAAAGACGTCGGCTAGTGACCGAAAGTGACGGCTCATGGCATCAGCTGATGTCACTGCAGTGCCTCTGGCCGGGAGGGTTCGAGTGCCGACGGTAGCATGATTTTGACATTAGCTTGTCAGCTAGGTCGAATTCAGTCGCTGTCTGAAAGAGAATTCTATCGGCCGGTTGCTCTGATCGATAGCTTTCCGTGATTTCTCGGTTCGACACTTGGCGAATGGCGGAGCAGTACCCAACAAACGGGGGTACTGAGGGGTCTTTCCTACCTCTTCCTTGCCCTATCCTCACCCTTTACACACACTTACACTAGCATGCTCTGCACTGCCGGGAGACCGGTCGGGACCCAGAGCTTGTCCCGGCTGTGGCGGTGCCCCGCTGCTGGGAGATACCCGCCAGGGGAAATCACCGAAGACCACCACCACCACCCGAGCCCCGAGTAAAAACTTGCACTACTCTTGCGGGACTAATGGCCCTAGTAGTTGATGAGCCCGGAATCACTAATAATCAATCAATCAATCAATCTGCTTGTGAAGTTACCTCCCTTCGTGTATGTCTGCGGGCGAGGCCTAGCCTCGGCGGGGATAAGAACTAAGTTCTCAACTGATCTTCCGACATGAGTGGTAGTCATGTACAAGACATGAGTAATAGTACATGTATTAGTAAGTATAAGTGTGCATAAGTAAAGGTAAAACAAGAAAGAGGAAGTAAATATCGATCGCTATCCGTAGCCCCTTTGTTAAACAACATTTACGACATTCGTCTGATGTTGATCAAAGAAACCTCGGAAAACTTTGCGTCAGAGAAGCCAGTCGCTAGAATTTTCCGCCAGACAGAGGCTGAACTTCAATTCAGCTGCGTCACGAGGCGGAAAGTCGTGTGAGATGTCCTGTTCTTGCAAAATCCTCAGCGTTTTCCCACGGCGAGGGAAAGTGACCCACCCCTTGGTGACAAAACTCTCGACGCACGACACTAAATGGCCCCCACTCAGAGCGAAGGCTCCCACGGCGCGGTAGGCGCGCAGCCTTAGCGAAATATCCGCTGCGGAAATTTCGCGTTATGTGTTGCCTTGTGAGCACGTTCAGACCTGCGCGGCAGGCGAGCGTTGCGGCAACAGATTCGCAGCGTTTTCTTGCCTGCGGAAGGCTTCCCCAGACCGGCACGGAAGAACCGCATCCTTTGCGGAATGGCCGCTGCGGAAATTTCGCGTCACGTGTTGCCTTGTGAGCAACGTTCAGACCTGCGCGGCAAGCGAAATTGACGGCGTTTTATTACCTGCGGATTATGGAACCCAATCGGACGCGTTTCAACCTCTGCCGCTCGAGTTTCTTGGAAATCCGCCCGCCTTCGGAAGTCTTCGCCCCCCTCTGGATCAAGCTTCTCTCGCTTTTGTTCATCGGATGAGGAAACCTGTCACCAAACGCTGAGTCATAATTGATGCTTCGGTGTGAAGTGTCCCGCGGATTCCGCCGTCGCGCCTAGCGCGGAGCGTTCCGCGCCGCACACGTTGCGGATCTCCCGCGCCGGGATGTGAAAGCCTTAACATAAGGGGAAATCATTCGCGTTCCCTCAGACGGTGATTCTGAGGAGACGCAAAAATTACTCATTTAGTATTGACTTCTCGGCACTCATTGCTTCATATTTGCGTCTGCATATGCGTGTTTGGCAAGTAACACACATTGCACTTCGTGCATCCCTTATCGCGTAACAACAAAATTTCAGCATGTTCATATGCACAAAATATTCTATCATTACCTTTTCACTAACCACCCTCTTCGGCCCCTTTAATACTTCTTCAGTAATTTCAAAACCTTGGTAACATGTACAGAAACATTCCACAGAAATACCATCGTGACTAAAAGTACCCCTCCCATCACTTCCGAAGGCGTATTTTAATCACCGTATATAAGGCTACATTCACAAAGAAGACGAAATAACTTCCCTCTGTATCAATCTAAAACCTGAAATTTAGAATATAATTTGCTATAAAGACGAATGTGTCCACAAGAGAAAGATTGTTGAAAATTCACACTCCAAAGAGAGGACAAAGGGTTTTTTTAGAATTGAATGCAATATGCCCATGCATCTAGACATTGCGCATTACAGGGCAGCGGAGCGGATTTGCGAGGAATGGTGGTGAGGAGGACATAGGGGAAAACAAGACGGAATGAGGTGAGGCAGAGTGGGGCGAGAATAAATGAGTGAATGAATGAACGAATAAGTGATTGAAATTGAGTGAATCAATTGATGAGTGAATGAGTGAATGAATGAGCGAGTGAGTGAATTATGAATGAGCGAGTGAGTGAATGATGAATGAGCGAGTGAGTGAATGATGAATGAGCGAGTGAGTGAATGATGAATGAGCGAGTGAGTGACTGATGAATGAGCGAGTGAGTTTCTGAAAAAGCATAGGCGTGTTGCGTCGCGCGTGCGCAGTGCCCGCCGCTGGAGTACGTGGAGCGGCGGGGCGCGGGCGGCGCGGTGGCGGCGGTGCGCGGGCTGTTCCCGCGCGTGGGCGTGGAGGTGGCGCGCCAGCTGAACGCGAGCGCGCTGCTGCTGCCGTGGGGCGACAACGACTACGGCGCCGACAGCAACGGCTCGTGGAGCGGCCTGGTGGGCGCGGCGCAGCACGGCCGCGTGGACCTCGCCATCAACTCCTTCCTCATGAACCCCACCCGCCAGGCCGTCATCGACTTCACCACGCCCATCGTGCTGGCCAAGTGAGCGCTTGCGGGAGATGGGGGTGCGCTGAGAGATTCGGAACGCGAGATGCCTTCAATATTTGTCCTCCTTGTACTCGTGCGCCTAAGGGGCCGACCGTAAATTACTAATCGCAAATCTGGCATATTTTGAATATCCCCTCTCCCCCCCCCTGTAACACACGTGTGACGCGCACTTCAACCCGCCTCTAATAATTACGTAACGCTTACGATTAGCCCTCCCTCCAAAGATTCAATCTATATATCATTGGTGAAAAAGATTTTGATTTATTGTAACAATATAAAAATAATATTCTTTAATTTATTATATTTTTAATTTAATTTGTTAATATGGTACTAAGGTATAAGACTGGATAAAAGAAATTATTTCACCAAATGTTGAATGATTTTAAAAATAAATAGCAGCATTTCGAAACACTAAACTACGACACCCCTATGTAACGCTGCCTCAAACCCCTCTCCTTCTTTTCAGCGTTACGTAATTTATGGACGACCCTTTAAGACACATTCTCTTACTAGAGCAGGCCGTCGTGACGTAAGAGTATGCAAAACCTTTTGGCGCGGTTTCTCTTTTTATTATTAATTATGACAACCTAGTAGACTTAAAAGTGCATGTGGCTACCACAAGATGTGGTCATCGTGACCACAGTTGAGTATGATGGATGATTATGTAATGTTGATATCATTAACTCTGTAACCCTAGCTCCAATCTTCATGCTGTCATTTTTTCAGTTTGCTGCACCCACTGTGAATTAATAAATTACCAATTGTGTAATAAATTACCTATTTAGCTACGTGTTTTAAGAAATTAAAAATTGGGATTCCATGGAGCAAAATAGTTGTACAAGTAATCTCACTTTCATGCGTTTAACGATAATGGACAAGAAATATTATTTCCGAAAGTTGTCAAAATCGAATAGTCAAACTTTACAACGACGCTGGAATTAACGGAGATTAATGGAATTAACAGAAATGAATTGAGTCAAAGAAACTGAGTATCTTGGATACCACAAATAGATGATAGCTGTCCCCCATACGTTGCATACAGTTTTTACTGTTCTTTGACTAAATAAATCAAATCAAATCAAATCTAGAAAACGAGTTTATGTATGAGGCTACAAATTCACAAAAGATCTCTTTAAAAATGTGGAATTTAGCAGACAAAATTTCATCAAAATCTGAAAATCATCGGAATCTAGCCATTTTTTAAATTTTCTTGTAATTTCCCTTTCGGCATCACGAGTACAAACTTTCCCTTCACATGTTAAAAAATGCACTTTAAACTCAATGCTACGACTTATGTAAGAACATTTCTTAAAGAATACTGTATTAGGCTACTGTTTCACCTAAAAACAAAAGCAACCAGATCGGACCAGGTGTTACAGATAGAATAATATCAACATGTTATCATGTTATCATCACGTTTAATGTCGCCTCAAAACCATCCCGACATTTGGTGAAACCCCGCGCTTTTTCTATACTAAGGTGTAATCATTCGGAATCAAAAGACAAAACGCGACTGGAAGGTTTTGCATTCTCGTGCGCCATTACATCGTCTATTTCATATACCCGTCCTTCTTATTTGCAATACCACGCCGAACCCATTTCCCATTCCAATGAATGAAAACTAAATAATATTGATTGTAAAATACATGAAGTGAAGAAAACAGTTATATAAAGGACAAAGGATCTCTCTACTATCCCGGACTCAGTGGAAGAGAGACAGCTACAGTGGTATATAGATTTGGCATGAGTACGAACGTTCATAGATTGCTGTTCATTCGTTGCTTTCCGTGCGAACGATCCTAGATTGTTGTTTATTGATTGCATGCGTGTGACCGACTGTATATTGCATGAATTGCACGAAATAGTTGCTCGACCGCCCCTGGGTGAGCCCGCGCGCGTGGCGGTGCGGCAGGGCGGGCGTGTTCATCCGCGAGCCCGAGGACTCGGCCATGCGCTGGGGGCTGATGGCGGCGCCGTTCGCCAACCACCTGTGGCTGTGCGTGGGCGCCGCGCTGGGCACGCTCGCCCTGGCCGTCGCCGCCGTCTCGCGCCTCACCGCCCCCACGGCCCGCCCACGCCCCCGCCCCGCCCATCGCCCACGCCCACGCCCACGCCAGCGCCCGACGCGCGCCGGCCGACAGCCTCTCCCCGAGCGACGCGCTGCTCTTCGTGTGGGGCGCCATTTGCAACCAGGGTGAGTCGCCGCGTCGTAACTTGTGGGCGGACTTTGATGGCCTCAAACATCGCCGAAACTTATCATAGGTAGTACCACGAGTGCTTTGGAAATTGTCGATAAATTCCAGACTCGTAGGATCGAGGACGGGATTTATCTGAGAATTTCCAAACCGCGAGTGGTATTTAATAGGACTATTCCACAGAGTACCAATTAAAGAAAAAAATTGAGAGTGAAAAGATTTAAATGTGAAGAGAGAAATTAGATCCAACAGAGTGAAATTATATCCAACAGTTTCAAAATGCGCCCAATATTAAAAATAACAGAAAACTTCTCTTAAAGTCAGAAGTTATGTTATAGTACATACGCTGTTTATTGGACTTCGACGTAGCGATGGATGTATAACGCCTCCTAAGATAAATGAGTTAGAGTTTATGGTTGGCCAGTACGTAGAAGTGGTAAGAAAAATCGGGGGAAAAAGCGATTAACTTTTTGAGACTCACCGTCCTGATTGGGGCATTTTGAATGTGTATTTAAACACTATTGGTTTTAATTTAACGAGAGGAATAGTCAAAAAATGATCTTAAAACGCCCTAAAAGCAAATACAAATGACGTACTAAAGGATTTTATCAAAACCAGTTCAGATGATCAACTCAAGCTGTTGGATATGCTTCTGATTTAATCGAGGCTTCTTCCTTTCGTTCAAGTGAACTCAGCTTGCAATCGTTGCCCTTAGACTGTGTTGTCTAGGCTATCCGATACACAAACTCCGTACACGGAAGCCTACTCAACCACGTTGGCCTTAGACTGTTCTTTACAAGGAAAGCTCTTGTCTTTAGTTATCGGGAAATCCATAATTGTTATAAAATATTTTCTGTGTATGATTAAATTTGGTAAAGGGTAAGTTACATACCAAATACTAGCAATTGATAATAAATTCCCGTTCCCTGTATAGGAGGGTCTCACGTCCTCACGACCCCAAATGAAATTTCTTAGACGGTCCATAGTTATATCTGGGGTGTGCCGGTTTATTCGTATTTATAAATACGAAGAATAAATAGAATAAATATTGTTTTTATTATGATTAGTGTAATACACAATTTGTCTCAGTGCCTAACGTGGGGCGAAATATAAATACTATTATTTATTTTGGAGCTATTCACGAACCGTCCTATTACATCGATGGCATTGTTCTAAAGTGAAAAGGGAAAAGTGACATTTCATTAAAATCCGACTCCTGACCATGAAGTTTGTAAGAACGAGACTTAGCTGTGGTGATGGGGGTAAGCATAAAAGTTCGGCAGTTAATCAAACTTACTTGGCTTCCGTAACATCACGCGGTCGACAGGAGAACTTTTTAAGGCATTTTCTGCCACTGGCCAGCAAGCTCATGTGCCATCTATCTTACTAAAACACACTAATGTGTTCATTGCGTTGGTCAAGTGCGTGTGTGCGCGTCGTTCTTGGCCGAGAAAAGCCAAAGTAAGTTCCTTCATTCACTGCGTGGTGCCGCTAAAGCTAAGAGAGTTTACTTAGCTGCCGACTTTACTTTTTTTAACTTAAGACTTTACTTAACTCCCTCTCTGCCTTCAACTCTGGAGTTGAGACTTCTTCTTATAGACTTTCATGACATGTTCATTACAAAACTTGAACTTCAAAACTTCTGTGCGCTGTAGTGGTTAGTAACTTTCGTTCTGAGATATTCTGTGTATAAAACAACTTATAAAATATAAACTTTAAAAATATGACTGTTTTGTGCGATTCATAAGACACCATCGACACAAATCGCAGTCCGTGACTACTGCGTAGGCAATATCCCCGTCAATTTAAACAGATATGCAAATTAAATATAACTAACTATATTTAAATATGGAGAATGTGGTTTCTAGGGCAAACATTCTACAAGTGACAGCGAGCCTCCATTTTTAGTAAGATCAAAGGAAAGACCATTGAAGGCCATTTCTATTACTTATTGAAAACATAATACCTAATAATAGTAATACTATAATAATAATAATAATAATAATAATAATAATAATAATAATAATAATGATAATATAATATTACTGTAATAATAATATAATAATATATTAATAATAATTAATGTTGGTTCGGATGGCCGATATCTCTAAGGCAATAGTGCCGTAGCGATCTCGGACCGGAGGATAGCGGGTTCGAGTCCCGCTTCGGTCATGGTTGAATTGTGTTCGTACTTTGTCATCCTCACAGTAACCATACCGTTACACGCAGTAGTGATCGCTGATGAAGTTGATGCGACCTTAAATAAAAGCAAATAATAATAATAATAATAATAAAAGGTCGAGATTTTTATCTGGTGATTTCAGTTGAGGGTGGGTTTGGGCCGACTGAGCACGAGAGTTGTGCTCGCTTCACACCCACACCGCCCAGAATAGATGGAGCGCTTCCGTCACCTGCGGCCAGAGCACATTTGCACTTCACCACCTCTAACGCGTGTGGCGGTGGCGTGGGCGCAGGGCAGGAGCGGGACCTGCGCTCGGCGGCGGGGCGCTGGCTGTCGTGGGTGCTCAACGCGCTCGCGGTGGTGGTGATGGCGGCGTACGGCGCCAACCTGGTGGCGTCGCTGGCCGTGCAGCGCGTCGAGCTGCCCTTCCAGGACCTGCAGGGCCTCGTGGCCAACGGCGTATACGCCCTCGGCGTCATCGGAGGACTCATCAAGAACTTCGTGGTAAATATTCTCCGCGACACTCGCGGGACGCCGGACGCGGTATGCCGTTACAGATATCAGAGGCTGCTGGCAATGATGTTATACATAATCCTAGGTTGGCACAATATTCGCATTCAGTATCTTGTCACAGGAACAGATACTAAACTTAATCCCAGAAACAAGTCTTGGCAATACATTATCAATGGGAAATTTGTTGTATTGCAGAAATACTTTCTGTACATTCTTCCTCATCCGATTAATTCTAAGTAATGTTCACACGGTATGGAAACATGCCCATTACAGTAACGGTCTATAGATTTGGTGCTAATCCAGGTGTATAAGAAGCTGCTGATGTGTATCCTAAACTTAATGTCGCTTTTATTCTTAGCAGGTTATTCGCTTTGAATTTATCCATTGTATTTCAAGGAGCGATGTTAATCCTAATCCTATTTCTAAGTGTTGGCACGATTTTCTCATTGATCACTTCATTTTTAGAAGAACACTATTCTATAAGTTATCTACTTTCTACTTTGTTTGGATCAACGTACACGCGGCATGCAAGAAACGACGGTTTTGGTGCTGATCCGCGTTTTAAGCCTTGGCACAAAATTTTCAATCAATATAGGCATTGAATCTTTTATGAAATGAAAATATATACCTTCGTACGATTGTATCGACTCGTAAGAGAACGAACAATTGAATAAAGTAATAGGTTGGGGGTACGTTTGTTTTAGGAGAAGCAGGCTAGAGTTCGCAAGAAATGGACTCTTGACGATTAACTCGTGATATTTAAAGTGAAATTCTGGTTAATACACCAAATTTTTAGTGTCTTCAATAGATTAAAATATTGGCAAAACCTTAGGGAAAGTATTTGATGTAATGAATCGATACTTCAAAAATACAGAACAAGATATCCGCGAAAGCGGAGCAGGTAACAGTTTACCGATTGATTAACCATCTATAACTTACAAACAAAATATTTTCATTTAGTTGAAACTTTAAGTGTTTAATTTACCTCAAGAGTGAGGTGACCGGATAGCGTTGTTGGATAAGTGGAAAGCAGCGGCAGCTGAACGTATAGAAAAAACTCACAATCGCGGGCGCCTACGGGAGCATACACTGTTGCGGGGCGGATGTTCATTTGATACGTAACAGTGTCACAGAAGTATGTTTTTCTGTAAATTCGCCCCTTCTAATTTGTTTGACTTCCAGTACACACGACATGAGGTGTGGCAGATGTATGCGACCGGTGCTGAAGTAGGTGTATTAGAGACTGCAGCGCCGATTCTTGACCTGACCCTAATTTTTAGTCTTGGCACGTAATTCGCAATCGATGTCGGCATTACAAGTCATTTTTCTGCAAATTCGTTTCTTCCGATTCATTCGCTTTAAAGCGGTGCGGCGCGGGGCGTTGCAGGAGGCGACGGACCCGGTGCTGAAGCAGGTGTACCAGAAGCTGCTGGCGCCGATGCTGGTGCAGCAGCCCCGGTCGTTCGCCGACGGCTTCCGACGCGTGTGCCGCGGCCGCTACGCCTTCATGACGGGCACGCACACTGTGGGCGGCGGGCACGGCGCGGCGGCCGGGCACGGCGCGTGCGGGATGACGGTGCTGCCCGGAGGCTCCTTCCCGCTGGCGCTCGCCATGGTGCTGCCCCCCGGCAGCCCGCTGCGGCGCATCGTCGACGGCAGGTGGGCCAACGCCGTTGCTCTTGTCCCGCAGCCAACGGAACAAATTCGAATAATAATATACCAGTACTCGATACTACCAGTATAAAGAAAACAGAATGCCTCCCCATAGATTTAAAAGTCAGATTTCAATCAGTTTCTCGAAGATATAACGTGACGCAAAGTCACATCATGAATCTACCACACAGATGCGTCAAAACACAAAACATCCAGGTCGGAAGCGCATTTGTAACTGAGACTTGTCGAGGCTATGGGCACTTGTTCCACCTAAGCAAGTGTGTACCTGCCGAATTATATGCAGTATTGCAGTCTTTGCGACACTGTGAAACTCTTTCGAATTCAGAGCGCCAAGGTTCGTCCATTCTGCACAGACTCTCCAAGTCTTCTCACTGCCAATAGACAGGCGCCCAAACTGTAGATCCACTGCTAGCAAATGATTCTCATAGCAATGCCCATAAATTAGAGCAGCGAGGGAGCATCAGTTAAGCTCATTGCTGGTGCCCTGGACCAGCGAGGGGATCCCTAGGCAATGAAGAAGCCGATTCTGCTAGCACGCAAATGGGCGGCAGGACTATCCATCAGATAGGGTATTGAAATTACAACTCAGACGCAAGGATCTGTCTCGGTGCAACCCGACAGAATGGCAGGACCCTGCGTGGAACAGTCTTCACACGAACTACAACTCCCATTAAACAAAATATGTAAAATGGTTCACCAAATCGTAAGCTACCCTCACGATAACAAGTCGTGCATAACCCGACTAAGAATATGCCCGCAAGAATGAGCTTCTTCTACACTGTTTAAAAGAATGAAGAACAACCCATCTGCAGCTGCGAGAGAAGAACTCTGACAGTGAAACATATTCTGACAGACTGCGTAGATCTCTCAAGACTTAGAAAGACAAGATGCGGCATGAGTAGGCAACATGAAAGAATATGATCTCGGCACTCGACAGACATGGCAACCTACAATAAACAATTACAGTTCTCCAGTGATGAAGATGTGCGCAAATGTCAGCTTTCTAAATTTAGATTGAATATATGATAATCATAACATCGATCAGTAAAAAGGCTAAAAGGCGCTTAGCTGCTATCAGCCATATAATGAGAACTAGAACAAAAAAATAACAATAGTAATAGATGTAATCAGCTAATCAAAATCAAAGTAGCATAAACTATATAATAATAATAATTAATAATAATAATAATAATAATAATAATATAATAAATAATAATAATCAAATAAATAATATAAAATGGCGGCGCCCGTTGGGCGCGGAACGGTCTGCGGGCAGCGCGTCGTTGGCCGAAGGAGTGTGCATGGCTGGGTCTTCGAGTCCTTCGTAGACATGGTCGTATGTTGGATTGCTCCCTTCATTTCTATCATCATCATCATCATTATCATCCTTTCATCTCATAATTTCACCACTTTCAAGGCGTAGCAACCTTGTGTTGTAATCCAAGGATGACAGCTGAAAAAGTTGAATCCTGGAAGAATTACACACGTTAATCTTGTAGCGTGGTCAGTAATGGCCTATACCCCAATAAATAATAATAATATAATAAATAATAATAATATATAATAAATAATAATAATAATATATAGATAATAATCGCATTTATTTAATGCGAGGTTCAGGCCATAGGGCCTTTCACTTCGCCTAAACGTTCCGCCCTAAGTAGTAACTTTTTAAGAGGGGAGGACAAGCTGTACAATTTACGTCCTGGAGAACAAATCTAGGGACCATCCCGGCATACGCCTTAAGCGACTGAGTAAACCCAGAAAACCTCAATCAGGATGGCGGCTTAGGACCGAACATCATCAATTTGCGGAGAACAGTGAAAGAGAAGAAAAAATAAGAGAAAGGAAACATAAATGAAAATGACGAAAAACAGGAGGAGAAAGAAGAGAGACCGAGAGGGGGGACAACTAGTACATAATTCTGTGCTGGCAGCAGAGATATTGTGGTAATACCTAATGATTATTAATTGAAGAGGTACCAACCGCAAAGTACATGATAATATAAATCTATACCTGTAAATAAATGGGAATGTGCGTATGTATGTTGCACATAGAATCAAAAACTACTTGACCGATGTTTGCTGAAATTTCCACAATGTTCAGGTAAACTGAACTTATTAGTCTTATTGTTCTTATTAGTAATGGGAGTGTTTAAAGAGTTTGATTGACATCGGACCTGTGGGAACATTTTTGATAATGATGATGATCATGAACATTTTTTGAAACTTTTAGTAGTTTTTGCGCAATATTACGTGCGATATGTACAATTGAATACAATTACAAAAACAACATTTTCTCAAAAACGACATCAATTTCTTCTTTAAACTTTTGACAGGGATATTGCTAAATAAGGTGACATAAGCGGCATATTTATCTATCTATTGTTTTATAAAAAATTACAAAAATGTAATTTTCTTAACTTGTCTCTCACGTCATTAGTATTTATATTTGCGGAAATTTCTTCACATTATTATATTTATGAGTACATGTGCTTTAAATAATGTCATATAAAGTTTCTCGAAAACTCAAAAGTTTTCTGTAAAAACTAGCTCAAAATTCCACATTTTCAAAAACGCTTAAATGCCATTTTCTCAAAAAAAGGCTCCGGAACGAAACGGAAAAACGTTTTTTCTTCAATTTTTTTCTACGGATAGTGCTAATTGCTCTGTTTAAGATAACATAAAATACTTTTTTCTGTATTCTTTTGTTTTTTCAAAAATTACACAAATGTATTTTTTCAAAGATTTCTCACAACGCTAACATACACATTTCCAAGAATTTGTAAACACAATTGTGTTTGTGAGTTAATGTGCTTTCAATGGCTTTTAATGATGGTTTTCGAATTTTTAGGTGCGCTTAAATGCCATTTTTTTTAAAAACGACTCCAAATGTTTCAAAGCAAATTATCCTTTAGAACAAGGTTTTACTGTGCTTTAATATTCTTAAAATAATATTTCCGTTCTACTATTAGAAAACCTATAAATTATGAAAATAAAAGAACTGTACCTTGGGCGGCGATAGATGGCAGCTTGCATGAGTATGTGGCAAGTTAGTATAGCTAGCCTAGACCAAAGGAAATAGAAAACTAATACGGGAAAGTCTGTGCCATTCTGAATCACCTCTAGTTTTCTCTATGAAGAAGCAAAACACTTAGACCTTAGCTGTATATGCTCCGCCAACTTCTGTGCGGACCAACCACTGCTCTACACCCGTCTCTCCCTCTGACTTAACCGGAGACTTAGCAGCTAAGCACGGTTTCAGAATAAGATTTGAAATCATGAATACAAACTGATCAGGAGGTACCACGGTTTAGCGAACTCGGTGAAATCAACATCTAGCATTAAGAAATTCAGAAACTTGATTATATGTTTCTTATAGGATGTCTTTGCAAATTTTATTTCCTAAACACAGACATTGTAAACGGTGATGGATGTCCACGTAGCCATGAAGTACATCAGTAAGGCCGCTGTAATGAAATTATCATATTAACTAAATGAAGAGATGAGACAATTAAAAGGCCTTCCATGAAAATTTTAAAAATTCAAATTGTAAAGTAGACAAGCAAAAAGATTCAGACAACTAATAAAATATTTACAGCGACTACCATTAAAATAAGAGTTTAAGTTTAATCCCTCTCATTCATTAGATCTGATCTCTACCCCACAAACACACTTCCTCACTAAAATGTTAAATGCAAGTTCTTCTGTTCCATCAGTTTGTCCGCTTCCGGGTGAAAATAGAAACATTCTGCGTATCTTTGTAGGTCCACGACAGTATACATTTGAGACATTTCTTAAGATGTTGGAAACTAAGTATTGTAAAATCATTTATGTTACACGATTTTCAATATTTCTCATTTCCTCGTTGTTGTATTTAATCTAATATGACCTTCGTATAAAAACGTTTGCATTACTTCTTTACACTTTCTAAGCAAAATATGCTTTCCAAAACGCGTAATACAAGCGCGATATAACAACTTTTCTTATCTTTCCAAATTATTACATAAAGTATCGTTATAGAAATCTCATTTTGTAACACAAGACTGTTTCACTATACTTTCTTTTCCGGGTGTTTTTTTATAATGACAGGCTTAACCTGTCAACGTCATTTATGATCAGTTTCATATGTAAATTTTTTATGTCAATCTGGCAATGAAGTTATCACATAATAGGCCTGCCAAAACAAAACAACAAACTATATTTCAGACAGTTGTTTAATGATCCAACATTCGTTACAGAAATACAATTTTGATAGTTTAGTTCACGGTTCTTGGAAAGACTGTACTTATTTAGTAAGGTTGACTGCGGTTTTATTTGTAAAGACATTTGCCTTGAACTGTTGAAATATAGAATATCATTTGATTCTTCGTCACTGGAAAAGGGGTGAAGGACCGTTGAAAAATTTCCGGCAAATATGTTTGCTTTTTCAATGCTGATTTTTGTCTAATTCTTGAAAAACCAACACATATTTCCACAATTACTTTCAGATTTGCAGCAACGATAGCCATTTATCTTTTATGTACTCCTTTCAACAAATTTCTTTAATATTTACAAACTATAAAATGTAAATAAAGCAAAGGATATAAATCCATAATGCAAATAACATCTTCATAAAAGAATGTTTAACATTCTGAAAACTGATAACTGTTTTTATTGTCTATGTCATTGAAACACGTTTTACCCTTTCAAATACCAAGTAAGCTGGGATAAGTCATGATCATAATATCTTATTTCGATGCTTGTTACGGCGTTGGAGTCAGGATGCAGCTCGCCAGACCGCTATTTTACCACCTTTTTTTAAATTTGAAGTCGTAGGCTTTCGCGGCCAGAGTCATGTGCATGATCTTGGCTGTCCGAAAGTACGAAAACATTTTTCAAGCAAATCAGCAAATTCTCTGCCGGATCTCCAGTAGTTAAGTGTGGTGTAAATTAACTCTCTTTGGATGCATTGTTTACTTATTTCAGTGAACTTCATGACCGT